AAAAAAAAAAAAACGGTAACCTGGTTGCCGAGTTCACGAAGTGAATTGGCTTGTTTTACAACGTCTTTGCCAAGCGACGAAAACCCACTCCCGATGGCAAACACCGGGGGGGGCGGCTTGTTTTACAAAGTCGTTGCCAAGCGACGAAAACCCGACCCCGATGGCAAACACCGGGGGGGGCGGGGGTGGGGAGGGCAACGTTCGGTGTTAACGGGGGGCAACACAGGGGTTTTGGCGCTGATGCTTTTTCTCATTCTTCAACCCAACATGAAGAATCTGGTAATTATTACAAATAGAGGACACCATCAAGAGGCGTCGTGCGTGTTGGCACGTTCAGGTTTGCTACTGGAGCTGAAACATCGAAGGTCGCGGCAGCATCTGAAAACAGTCCGAAATCTGCGCCGGAACCAACCGGCATCCAGCATTTGTTACAGCCGTGCTCACCGCCACGGACCGTAAGCCCCTGCACGGAGGGTTGTCAGCAGTAGCTAGTGCCATCAGCTACTGCTGAAACGCGCAGTTCAGGAGATTGGGGTCAGTGGCGGCAAGCACAAGCAGTAGAAGACACTGGGTGTGGGTCTAATTTGCGGAGATTTGCGGAGATTGTAAGCAGCTACGATATCGAGGGATATCACCACCGCAGAAGGAGATTTGAACGCGCCAACGCGCACCCCCCGCTGCTATAGGATATCCTCTAGTGATACAAGTACGATGCACCGGGTTCCTGACGGCACAGAGCTTATTTGAGCGCCTGCCGTTTTGGCTCTTTGACCTGAATGTAGAATGGTGTTAACTTTCATCTTGATTTCAAAGGAGGCGTGTGGAGGTGGACGCGTGAAATGTATATTTTGAGAAGCCTCTACCGCCGCCCCGTGCGACAGTCAACGATTTTTTGTTTTTCGCGATGCCTTCCGACTGGTCTCGTGTCTCTCGTGTGCCTTTCTGGTGCTCTTGGGTTTGTTTTGAAAGCTTGTCAACATCAAAGTTCGTGTTCTGCCACCCCTCAAGCACTTCAAACACGCTTTAACATGAACCAAACGTACATCGGGTTTCACGCACTCCTCGGAGATAAGAAATAATACCCGGTCCTTTTCTAAACGTGGTGTGCGTGCTGGTGTGTGTGATGCCTCAAAATGCTATTGTTCTCTACAAGTGTTGTACGTGCTGGTGTGTGTGATGTCTCAAACTGAAATTGTTTTGTGCAAGTGGTGTACGTGTTGGTATACGCTCTCTTGCGTGATGTATGCTGTCCTCCAACCACCCAACGCCCTCTCCGACCACATCCCGGGGGAGTCAACGTCAACGTCATCCTCCTCCTCCTCCTCCTCCCTTTCCTTAGGACCGCCGCGGCGCAGAAGGCGCGCTAAGGGGGGACAAGGGGTTGCGGGACGAGGAGAACCTGTCGACGCTGACCTACTTCAAGAGGGCGCTCCGCCTCGCCGGCCCGCACTGGCCCTTTTTTATGGTGGCGTTCGCGTGCCTGGCCATCTCCAACACCGCCAGGATAGCGCTCCCGAACTTTCAAGGGGGCATCTTGGACAAGTGAGTATGAGATGGATGAGTGGACGTTCGAGGTGGACCATAGAATCCTTGCGGGGGGGGGGGGGGGGGGGGGGGGGGGGG